CTAGCTGTGCTGGGTCAGACCAGCAGCCCAGCAGCCTATTTCTTACAGTGGCCAAATGCAGATGCCTAGGAAAGAGTAGAAGAGGGTGAGCACATAATGAATGCAATGCCCACCACATGACATAGTTCCAGGACTTAACTTCAACCTAAAGTGAGTTAGTATATTAGACAAAAATTCATTTTCCCAAGTAATTGCTACTGCCTTACCCCATAGATAGCCAGCAGTCATTGAGATGACTGTTGATCACTTCTGTTTTCCTGTTATTTCATACCATTTTATATATTCAGGCATCCTGATTAAAAAAGGAATTATAGTCCTTTCTTTGGCCTTGGCACCCTGCCCCCCCAAAAAACCCCTATAAGGTTTCACTAGAGCTGATGAAAAGACTTGTTTAGAAGGATTCTGGTGCAGTAAAAGTCAGAAAAGTTACTTAATATCTTGCTCCAGGTTTACACGGTCATAGTCCCTACTCATTTGTTGAGGGATTAGCGTTCAACAGCTATAGTTGCACAAGCCACAAGCTAACAACTGTGTGCAGCCACACACCACAAACATCAGATTATTCCACACAGAGCAAACAAGGAGGAGGCATCTCTCGGACTTCTAAGGATATTTACCAAGTGTTCACTGTAGAGAGCAGCCCCTGAATTCGAGCTCTGGCAAGAAAATACCCAAATTACAGTACAAGCCAAGGAACCTGAAATACAATATATTTGGTAATGTCGCTTCAGTGTAAGTGGATATTATAAGTTTTATTGCTTGTTTTAAATGTATGAACAATACATAGACTGCAACTGCAAAGCTACCTAGCCCCAAGAAAGCAGGACTTACTCTCAAATCACTTGATAGCAAGGATATGTGTTCCCTTTAGCACCACTTCCTTTTTCAGCTTGGAAAAAAATGGAAGATGGAAGGAAGCAAGCATGGCGGGGACGGGGACACTCCTAACACCTTGATGAATCAACACGAGTCTTCCACTGGAGAAACGGAAAAGGGAGCTTAATAGCAATTGTCCTAAATCATTTTGCACTGCACAGCTCTTTTATAAACTTCATAAGCAGACTAAAAAGCACAGAGACAGAATAACAAGACAGTTGAGGCTGGAAGGCAGCTCTGGAGATCGGCTAGGCTAAACCTGCTCGGAGCAGGGTCAGCCACAGCAGGTGGCTCAGGGCCATGTCCAGATGCCTTCCGAGTATCTCCAAGGATGGAGCCTCCATCACTTCTCTGGGATACCTGCTCCTATTGCTAACAACCTTAAAGTAAAAAAGTATTTTCTTATGTATAAGCAGAATCTCTTGTGTTTCAGCTTGTACCCATTGCCTCGTGTCCTGTCACTGGGCACTCACTGGGTGGTGAGCCTGGCTCCGTTCTCTTTACACCCTTTCTTCACATACATATAAGTTTGCAGACCACACCAAGCTGGGCGGGAGTGTTGATCTGCTCGAGGTCAGGAAGGCTCTCCAGAGGGACCTGGACAGGCTGGATCGATGGGCCGAGGCCCATGTATGAGGTTCAACAAGGCCAAGTGCCGGGTCCTGCACTTGGGCCACAACAACCCCATGCAGCGCTACAGGCTTGGGGAAGAGCG